AGCAATATGGTTATTTTGAACTTCAAAAGCAGTAGTAATTTATCATCCGTTTAGGACTGAAAAAAAAAGAAAACTAAAAGAGAGATTAAAATACAAGATAAAAGCTGTTTATACAGAGGAATCACAGAAACCCAATAAACCAAACTTCACAATCGCAACCAATTACATTTCGATTCTTTCAATTGTTTCTCAACAGAGGATACGATAAAGGTCTGTTAAGTTCCGAAGCAATTTCTTCAATCCCCAAGTTGCTTTGACACTCACCGATTGACGTGAATTCTCATCACTTGAATCGTATACACCATTTTAAGAGGTTCTCATAAAATTTTTATAATCCTAAAATAAATCACAAAACTTAACAAAATCTAGAAAAGTAAAGGATTTCTTTTTACTAGAGTTGTGATGTGGAGACCGCTCCTGAGAGAGGGTCTCCTCCAAAAATAGGCGTATGCCGCTAAGAGCGGCGAGCACACGGTATTCTTTAGTAAAAGGCGAAAGAATAGTTCGCTCTGTGTTCACCGCACGGCTCCGTGACTTCGTTGAGAAACGTTGGTGCCTTTATATAGTGCTGGACAGTCTACTAAGACGCTCCTTTCCGATGTGGGAATTTCAGTTTCTAAGTTTTGTATGAAAAAAATATCCCACTCTTGAGTTTTTCTCTTTTCCAATTCCAACGCCAGTTTTTAACAGTTTCTTTTCTATAAAAAAAATAAATAAATAAAATCCTCTATTTTGGGAATCGAAACAATTGCTTTGGGAGACGACTTTATATCATTTCATTTTTGGTATTGTTAAGTCTATGAAATTTGTAGAGGTTATAAATCTAACCGCTATTGGAGAAAAAAGAATAGAGTGGGTGTTCAGCAAATATTAGTGTATTGTTTGTTAAAGTGACTCCAACAGTCCAAATTAGGGTGTTTAATATCTAATTGAAGACAAGATTCAATCTAGTTTTACTGTGTAATTACTCAAGAAGCTACCTCAAATGGGATTAAAAGACAATATTTTAAAGAGGCATGGAGCAAAAAATGTAAGGAATTCTCGTAAAAGAAATAAGGTAAGACTAAAGATTACATCGTGGATCATGTAGGTGAAGATATCATGCTACAGTGAGTATAATGTTTAGTGAATTGAATAGAAAAATTTACAAATAGGGAGCAAAAACGTGTCGATGAGAGCTTTGAACCAAATATGATAATATTTAGTTTCAAGTCATGTTATGTCAAAGCGAATCTTCTATTCATGGTGTTTGAACTTATTTTTGAATATTCATGGTGTTTGAACTTATTTTCTGTATTCAAAAATTAAGAGTTAAAATACTAAAAATTATTTTCAATACACAGAGGTATGTTTGTTTAAATAAATCCATCATTGAATTTTATAATTCCAATTTTATATGATTGCTTTCAAAGTTTTTTATTTTTTACTTTAACCTTCCACCTTTAAAAAAGTAATCTTTAGAGGAATTGAGTTTAATATTCATGATCAATTTGAGTTCATGCAGATATTGATTTTTGACCAATTAAATTAAAAAGGTAATACCAACAATTTTTCTACTCTGATAGCTTTAACCTCTCAATTTCATTTTTTAATCTATGACATTTCAGATGCGTGAGTTTTTTTTTTTTTTTTAACTTTTACTTTTTACTTCTTGGTTTTTTTAATACTTTTACTTCTTTTTAATTTCTGTCAATAAATCTACTTTTTCTTTTAAAATTTAAAACTCACACAATTTTCAAATATCTGTCCAACTTTCTAATCAAATTTATCTAACTTCTAAATATAATTTTTAATCAAATTTACCTACCTTCTAAACATAACATTGATCTTTAATTTACTAATTCAAATAATTTTCATGTATATATACATGATTTTATTCCGACGTTTTCATCACCATAAGTATATTACTTATATATTTAGTTTTAGTTCATCAATTATAGGCTAATTAAATTACAAGTAAAGTCTTATTAGCTATATTTAGATATGATACAGTGGATCAATTGTTGGCTAATTAAATTACAAGTAACCAGAGATATTCAATGGGCGATTGACAGATACATAATCTACAGTGCAAGTCGAAATACAAATCCAAAAGGAAATTCAACAAACAAGGACTTGCACCTGACAAGACGAATTGGAGACAATACAGGAGTTTGATGGAAGCCTCCCACATGCGATTCATCTTCTTCATGGACAATGTCAAGATCAAACTAAAATCAAACTAAAAAACGAAGAGGACAATGTCAAGATCAAACTAAAAAACAAGGTCAACTCCTCGTAGTTGGACAATTTAGTTTTTTTTTATGTAAAATTGTTTTCTTCTAAAAATATATACACACACACGAGTAAAATCTTATTTACTAATTTTTCCCAAGTATCGACACTATTTCAAACTTTGGTGTAAACAGACCAACATATCATGGCCTAAAGAAGTGAAATATTTAATAAACCTGCAACGCATGCTGCTGTTATAAAAATACTATTTCCATCGAAAAATGAAAATAAAGAAACTTGCATTTCGACTGAGATTGGTGTGGGGACCACTCCCGAGAGAAGGACCCTCCAAAAATAGGCGTATGCCGCTGTGAGCGACGAGCACGCGGTACTCTTTAGTAAAAGGCGAAAGAATAGTTCGCTCTGTGCCCACCGCACGGCTCCGTGTTCGTCCGTTACGCCGGTTGCCCATTTTATAGCGTTGGGCCATCTCCAAGACTTCGCAGCTTCACCGATGTGGGACAAATATTGAGTTCAATACCTTATTTTCATGCGTATTTGAGGGAAACACCCTTGAGTTTTTTTTTTTTTCCCTTTTCTGAGGATAATCTTGAGTTTAAATTTGGAAAGAGGGATGGATTATTCTTTTATTCAAGAATTAGACAAATTCGTTGTAAATAACGTTTCGGTATTTTCGTCTATATTTTTATATGTTAAGGGTGTGATGTCAAGATAAGAAGATGTGAGTTGATATTTGTATTTTATGGTAAAAAATCAAGGAAATATAAAATAATACCAATAAAATATTGTTGATGTAGGCATAGTATAAATATTTTTAACCTATTGATCTATCTCATTCAATCTATTAGGTTGATCTAAGATGATGGTTGATTAGAAAAAATATTTGATCACATTCAATTGAATATGTCTTTTAATCCATTTTTTAGTATAATAACATATGGAGGTGAAAGTTCRACTACACGACTTTTTAATAAGTGATACATGTCTTAACCAATTGAGTTAAGTTTAGGTTGGCAGTACATTGATCTTTAAATTGAATGATATATGACTACTCTTTTAGATGATGTTTTTCCTTTGACAAATAATATTGACTACCTATATTAAAATTTCGGGTTGAGTAAAATGATATGAAAGAGGACGTTTGAGTTCTCAAATGGATAAAAATGATGTAGGAACCATTTGGAAATTTAACATTCAAAATATAGGGAGATTAATTTAACTCTTCACTTAAAAATCACTTTTAAGTCCCTATATTTTCACTGAAATAGCGATTTAATTCTTATTCATTTAAGAATTTTCAAATTTGTAACAATTTAATCTCTAAATTTTAATATGGAACAACTTAGTTTTATAGTTTTCAAATTTGTATGATTCAATTTTCATCGTACAAATAATATTAAAATTATTTGATTTTTTATATATGTAAATCAATAAACTAAGTACTACATATGTGTATAAAATATAAATTACAAGGACTAAGTCACCACATAATAAAAATTGACATTAAATTTTAAATTAAATTTTTTACAATAAACCAAAGCGAACATAGCGATAATTTACATATTTATCAAATCAAGAGGCTGTAAGTTAGATCCCTACATGTTAGTACTCAACAAAAATTACGACAAGAAATTAAATGGTTATAAATTTTAAATTATAAACTAAATTGTTATAGTATAAAATTTAAGTAATACATTATTACCAATTAAATGTTAAATGGTCTAAATGTCAAAGCGAGAATACCTTCTAATGGACGTATATCTCCTCTGTGAGTTCGATTTCTACCTTATATGTTGTAATTAAAAAACATAAAATTAACCATCTAAATCGTTACAAATTAAAATTGTGACGGATAAAAAATGATTTTTAACCTTTATTTTGAACAAATTATACAATTAATTTACTTCCTTCTGCGATACTCTGCAACTGTAGACTAGAAAGTTATCATCTTCAAGTGATTCTTCTCTTTTCCTTTTTTCCATATTCAATTTCTCAGGCGTCTCGTCGTTGCTCTAATTCAGGGAGGCACAGAACTGGGTGCTCCGAGTCCTGATTTTTTCTTTTTCTTTGATTAGAGAACTCTAAATTGCTTCATTATCGCAGGATATTCTTTAGGAAATATAATTATGTCGCCGATTATTTGATTTTCTAGGGTCTGTTCTTGATCGAGGAGAAAGTAGCATGCATTGACGTTGCTTCTCATTTAGTTTATCGATAGTCTAGTTTGCACATTACTAATTGCAAGCTTAGAGAAATCTTCGTCAAGTGGTTGATTTGTTTGATTCTGTCAATTTTGTGAATGACTTTTTACTGGCCAATCTCTAGAGAGTAATTTAGTTTTTGGGTTCATTTGTTTATGCGGATTTCAGCTAGATCAATGGAGAGTGTATGAGATTCTACATAACATTATCTTTTCAAAACTCAGATATTTGTGCGGTGGAAATGTGCATTGCTTGAGAATGAATAATGTATGATTTTCTTCGGTAATCTTGATTCCCGAGACATAAGCCTGTGTATATTCGAGTAAAGGACCCCAATTCTCGACTTTACAATTTCAAGTTGTTCATTTCTAGAATTTTCAAAGGGGAGGCAATGATGGTTTCCCACATAATGGAGATTTTTACATGAGTGTTCAGCGTGAGGAGCTGGGGCTTCCTTCGTTCTGGGATGGGGTCGTCTATGAATTTGGTTGATTAAGTAAAAGAACATATGTGATACTTATTTACTAGAGACTTGAGCTTATATGATAGAAACATTGGAAAGAGTTGCTGAAATTAGTTGAGATAGACATGTTATAGGTTGCATTTCCATAAAGTCCTACATGTTTTACCAAACAGTACAGATTACAGATAGCTACGAACAACATTTTGCATTGACTCATAGCGTACACAAGATAGGAATCTTGTAAGAAGAAAGAAGATGTTAATATCTTATAACTCTGTACTTTCTCATTATCTATCAGTGTCTTTCAGCCCCTGCAAAGTTCTGGTATTTCCTGATCACCAGAAACTGCAAGGCTGGAAGATGATAACAAGTAAATCCCAACTTCACTAACTGTCTTCCTTGAACGGAATGGTTGCTGAGAGTGAGACTGCTTGCAGTGTGCAATTGCTCCCTGAATTGAATTCTCGATCTCTGAATTCACGCTGCCACATCTCTTCAGAAAATACGCGCTTGAATTGTGTGAATATGAAGAGGAAGAGGTATGTAATGATGCAGAAGATGATGGTTTTATATCTGGTTGTCTCTTAATGGTCATTGAGAATGATCTTCTGTTGCGATCACGGTTTTCCGTATTGCCTTTTTCCTTGTTGAAATTGGCAATAGAGCTTGGAATTTGTCCAAGTGGCTTTCTCTTTTCCACTTTAGCACACTTCTTTGAACATTCGTGGGCTTTTGAAGCTGATCCTTCATCTGCAATCTTTGTGGCTGCTGCACAGGACTCATCTGAGCAGCCTGATTTTGTAAACAAAGATTTGATGTAAGCCCTGGAAGCTTTCAGCTTGAGACCAAGGGAAGAATGCTTAAGCTTTCTGGTCCAAGACTTTTTCGAACTTTCACCATTCAAATAAGTTGCATCTGCTGAATACTCTAGAAGGTATTCATCTGGATTTAGTTCCCTACTAATCCGACAAGATTCAGAAGGAGAAATGTTGCAGGATTCAAAGGGGGTACTTGTTGCAGTAGGTGTATTGACAGCAGTGGTTAATGGAGTGCTGTAAAATTCTTCAAAATTGTCTTTTCTGCAATCATAATCAGAATTAGACTTCTGCAAGAGTTTCTCTACCATTTGCAGGCGTGGGGGATGGTGAAGGGGAAGAAGCTTTCCATTGTAGAAGAGCTCATCGGCCGGAGAAGTTGTAGGCTCTCTCCCCCGAGAATTCAAAGACATTTGAAACTCGAACTCTCTGGGACGCGGCGGAGAGCTTTTGGAGTGGCATAGAAAGTTGGTGTATGAACTAACTTCCATGTCTATATAGTCATCATCTGCTGGATCATAAGATGGGATGTCAACAGCCATATCTAGTAAACTCCCTCTCTCTCTCTGGATCTGCTTATATGAAACTCTGCTTTATCAGGTGGTTCAAGGGTAGGAGCACCTTTAAAACTGAGGATGCTCGACTTTATATTAGGTTTATAGAGAATAAAGTATGGGGAATTTATTAATGACACTCTTTTAATGCTTCCAAATATGAAATTAGAACATAATTGGAGCTCACCTACTGGACCAGCATTGACCCATATCCCAATTTTATTAATCCTCAGTGAACTAGTATTTTTTTTTTCCTTTTTTGGTGTGTGGCTGATTTCTCATTGCTTTTCACTATGCTTACTACAAAAGAATGCACTAAAATAGTCTGGTCTCTTTCTTTACAACTCTTCTTTATGGTGATGTAGAAAACCATTAAGAATTTAAAATGGTGAGATTTTGCATCTTTTTCATGGGGGGGTTACTTTCCTTACAAATCAGTGAAATTGGGTGAAATATTTGTCAGCCATTATTAAAGAATATCAGTTAACAATATTTTATCAAACAAAAACTGTACACAGAACATTAGAGCCAGCCAAATAAACAAATAGGGTTAGCTGAGGCATGAAACTTCATTTCAAAGTTGAACTCTGTAGCTTAGAGTAAAAGGGATAAACCACAGAGTTTCCATTCTAAATGCTAATCTAAGATTCTTAGGTGAGGCACCTGAAGATTAAAAAAATAGTTGGTATAGCCATCTTTTTCAACACCTGTCTGGCTTTCCAGACAAAGATCAGTTTTTAGAACCAATCCATACCTCAAAACCTGGCTTTTCTGCTCTCCAACACCATGCTAGTTCCTCCATATTTCCCTGTGGTCCTAAACAAAAAATTAATAAACAAAAACATGATTGAAGACAGCTCCTCTTTCAACCAGAACATTACTTGGAGCTAGAGAAGCACTTTTGTCTGATTTTATTTTCTTTCTACTGAATTCCTGGGTGTGTTTTCTTTTAACAATCTTACCAATCTGCATACACTGATTGATGAGTGTTCAAATCTCATTCGTTGCTTTTCTTTTTGTTTTATATGTTTTGTATCAAATGCTACTTTTAAACTGCCCCTATAAATTTCAGGAGATGGGAAAAGGGCCATTACCTTATGGAGAAGGAGAATTAACAATGACCCGACATTTAATAGTGGAGAAGGGAAATTCCGGATCAATTTCTTGAATGCTGCAGACTTTTTTTCTCTTGTCCTCTGCTTTTAATACAGTCTCCACGTTTTAGCTCTGTCTCTCACTCTCTTCAAAGATAAGTTACTTTAGAATCCTTCCTTTCCAAATTGCAAACCGTTTGATATAATTAGCCGCAGAGGACTGAACATGGACTCCACAACTTGTGCTATGCTAAACAAAGTATGAAACAGGAGATTGTAGATCCGTCAAGCAACAGTCTGTGGGCTCTGCAAATGTAGCTAAGGAGCATTATCATTGAACTTTAATGGGATGGTTCGTGTTTCGTTTTAATAAACTTCGAGCCTGGAAGCTCAAGCTCGGAGTTGTGTAATTTGTGTTTGGATTATACGAAGGAATAAACCGTAGAAATCTGAGTTTGTTTTAATATGGATTTGGTTTTCGAGTTTATAATTTGTAAAAGTACAGCATAAAAGATTAGTTTCATGTAGCTTTTGGATTTGTCAATCTCATAGTTGTAGCCTATGTTTTCGACAAAATCTTCTCCCCATTCTTAGGGTTTGGAAAATATGCAATTTGTTCTACTTTCAGTTTGGGTCTGACTTTTTGGTTATCGATAGTTTCTGAGGTTATGGATAAAATTGTGAGACATTTTATAAATATATTGCATTCTCTATAACAATCAACATCAGTTCATATTTAAAATAAGTTCTTTTTTAGAGTGGATTACAGGAAAATAGGATTCAAAACCTCAAAAAATTTTGTCGAGAATATGTTAATCGAACTATATTCAATGTGGCTCATATTTAAAATATATTAATTCTTTATAGAGTTATAATATTGGATCTAGAAAAAATAAAAAAATCTCATTCTAAATTTCTGCAAAATTATTTCATTAAAATATTGTCCATATTCATAATATCATCTTTTAAACAATTTAATTTTCAGAACCGCATGTTGCTAAAAAACGAACCATTAAAATAAATAAATAAATAAATAAAAACCCACTTGCGATTTCAAAGAATTTTCTACTTTGCCAACTTGTTCTATAAACGAAAAGGATAATTACACACTGCACCTTAATGATTCACTTTTTTTTCACTTTTTTGAGTTCATTACCATAGTTTATAAATTTACAAATCAAACCCAGTTCTAAAGAAATCTATACTTCATACAAAAACAAGCTCATTTAACTCTTGAATTTCACAAATTACACATTCAGTACTATCTTTAAAACAAGCATACGATTAGCAAGACAAGAAAATAAAAAAAAAATATAATTTATAATTATCCCTTTATAAAAAGCAGAGAATGTGAGAGGGCAGCTCACTCGCATCACAGAACAAAACAAAGTAACTCAGATTTTTAATCAAACATCGACATTGAAATTATAGAGAGAGAAAGAGGAGAGAGAGAGGCCACGAATAAGAGCCAGGAGAATGAGATCCAATTGAGACCCACCACCCAGAAAATCCGGATGAAAAGATTTCTTCTTATTGGCTACACAATTTAAACACTTCCTATCAAGCTGGGTTTCATAATATTGCCTTCTCTATCCCACCAAAAAGTCTGAAATCGACGCTTCCACCCAAAATAAATAAATAAATACCTGCTAAATTACAAATTTAGTTCCGGTATTTCAAAGTTGGTCATGCTGATTTAGAAGTCTCAAGTTTGAACCTTCTGGTCAGCTTAGTACTAAAAACTCTTGACGTCTCTCGAATTCGAACCTTAGGTGGGTGCGGTTGTGCCTAAGTATAGGGGAACAAAGCTTCGACTCCCAGTTATCAAGAAAATAAATTGTATCTTTCAATTTTATTTCTAATAGGTCCTTGAACTTTACAAGTGTCTAATAGATTCTTCAACTTTCGATTGTGTCTAAGTCTGGTAAAATTCTCAAATCTATTAGATAAATAATTTAAAGGTCAAAGTCTTACCAGACAAAAGTTTTCATTTTGCCAATGAACTAACTAAACATTTTTTCCCCCTTTTATAATAAATGTCGGGCCAAGTCTAGGTTATCATCCAATGCTAGAATGCAACCCATGCCTTTTCTTCAAACCCGTTGCTCTTGCTCTTAAAAACAATCTCTGTAGAAGAGGTTGCGAATGTTCAAAATGAACGGACTTACTAAACATTTTAAAGTTCATGGACCTACTTGACGCAAAATCGAAGCTCAACCTATTAGACCCAACAACTTTGAAAGTTGAGAAACTAAACTACCTATTTCAGAACTGCCTTTTCAGAAAGATTTGGGCCAGGCATGTTTTCAGCCCACTACTTCCTGTGCCCTACCCTTGAAGGCAGAGGAGGCACATTCATCATCATGTTGTCCTTCAAAAGATAAGACAAATTCCAACTACCATATCAGGAAACCTTTCTGAATACATCAACATTAACAAAAAATCTCACAACCCCACACCAACTAATTGGTAAGGAAACATTTGGGGTCTCCCACTAATGGATGGTTGCCTAAGCAAACTAAAAACTTGTATATTAAGTCTTTGATTTGACTGTTTCCTTTCTTGGCTTTAATATATTACAACATAAATGTTCCAGAATTTTTATACAAGTGAACAAATTAAAAAACCACAAAATATACAGAGAACAATTACAAAGAAAAGATTATGATCCAATTTTAAAGTTTTGGGGGGATGCCAAATGCAACCCTATCTCCTTTTCTTTTTCATAATACGTTAGGTTGGTTCATTCATGAGTATATAATATGACAGACAGTAGCTAATTATTTGTGTCACCTGATCTCAGTTCCTTTTCGAGCTCGTCGAATTCCCATTCACCAATGTCTTCGGCCGAGTAGTCATGACCGACTTTCCCGAATTCTGATTCCAGCTTTGCTAGCTCGGCTGCAGCATCTAGTGTCTGCTCTACCTTGGCAGCAGGTATTTCGGGTTGCGTATGAGTTTCACTTTTTGAGTCTTCGCTATCTCCCACTGGAGATCGGGGAACACTACTGTGCACCTCCTGACTAGATTCGTCTTCTGTTTTTGAAGGGGGAGTTTCGATTTCTAGATTGGGTCTCTCAATAGAGTCGAATTTTTCACGTAGTTTTTCAATATCATCGAACAACTCTTGAACCCTAGAATCATCTTTTCTGCATTGAGGTATAAAGAGGAAAAAAAATTTGGGTAATAATAGTGAAATGTGACATTCAGGAGTGAGGACTGGAGTACTACAATATAATACAAATCACAGAAAATACAATCCAGATCTTACCTGGAAACTTCAGCTTGTTGAGCCAAAAACTGCTCTTTCATGTTATCCACAACACCAAAGGTAGTAATAATCTGGAACAAGAAAACAAATCAAGGTGTAATTGTTCAATATCCAAGGTGAAGTCAACTTTACACTTGACAGGAAAATTGTAGGCAGCAGATATATGTCCTATATTTGGGACAATTTTTTTACTCGTTGAAAACAATGTAAACGAATAAAACAAAAACAAGCCAGAAAGTGCACCGGAAAAAAAAAAAAGTCCTATGCGAGATCCCACTTGAAATTTACGAGTAATGTATAACCATCCTGAATTATCTATATATCAAAAAAAAGAGAAACAACTCAAAACAAAGAGTAGAAACCGAAAGGGAAGCGTGAAGTGCTGTGCAGCATTCTAAACGTCCTAACAATCTTGAACGAATCTTGAATAATTCTCCTATTTCTCTCTACATAAATACCCCACACAAGGCCAAAGCACCTGAAAAACACTAAAACCTGCCTCTATTATGAAGGGATCAGAAGCTCATCCAATAAATCATACAAGACAAGTTACGAACAAAGTTCCCCAAAAAATGGAAGAATCTTGCCGCAAGAGGAGAAAAAATAAAGGAACAAATAACCTTATGATCCTTACCACCAGCTAGTAGTTAGCATTAGGAAAGGAGGCCAGAGGCATACGAAAACAGACCTCAAATTGATGGTGTTAATTCTCCTCGGCCAAATTTATTTTGTTTAATAAAATATATCATCTTTCACACCTTTACTTGGCATAAGTTCCGAACTGAGATAAAATTCTTGATGAAATTAATGGCGTTAATCCTCCTCAAGCTACCAACCATGTGAAAACACATCACATCTTTCACACCTGCTCAAGGGTATTTAACTGAGGGGAGGAAATCAAAATGAAAAATGGAGAAAACCCATTTTTCATTTTGGATTGGTGGATTCTCTTTTGGATTTCTCCCTTCGTCTTCCGAGTAGAATTGATGATTTTATTTTAGAAGGTTTTGGGGAGCCACCCTCAAAGATAAAGCTTATGTCCTTTGAAATTGTGCAGCGAGGGTATTGCTTTGGTTCCTTTGGAAAGAAAGGAATTATTTACTTTTTGAAAATAAAGTGGCATCTGTGGATTCTGTGTGAAATGTGAATATACGTCATATGGCTTCTTGGTGGACTTCTATCCATAAGAATGTTTTTTTATAATTACAGTCTACTTCTGATTATATAAGATAGAAAAGCCATCTTTGGGGAGGGTTCTCTACCCTCTGCCTTTAGGATGTTTCCCCATAGAGAGTCATGGTTCTTGAATATATTCCCTTTGTTTATAATTAAAAAAAAAATGGAGAAAATCCATAAACAGTCCAGAGTGGTAATCATCTGATGGAAAGCACAATAAAACAAAACAACCAGTAAGGTTCATTGTGCAACTCCTTCAGACGAGTTTCACCTCCTCCATAACCACCATTGCAACACCATGAAAAGACGACTGTGAGTCTGACTATCACAAATCCTCTCTTCAAAAACAAGGTCATTAATTTCTCTCCCTCTCTCTCTCTCTCTCTTTTTCCTTAAAACCTCAGTTTGAGTGCACCTCACACTTGGTTTTTTCTCTTTTAATTGGTCTCCGTATCTCTTCTCTTTGGAAGATGTTTGATAAAGCTAAATTTAGTATGCGGTATAAAAGATAAATTTTGTCATAATTCATATAGCTCATAAATTAGCATACCTAGTGAGTTGGAAGAAACAAACTCAAACTCAAATACCAAATACCCTAAGTTAAACTGAGCCAAACCACCCTTTTAGGCCTCTCTCTCTTATTTATGATTTCTCCTTTTTTTTTTCTAAATGAAACAGACATCAGTCATTTTTTTCATTTAAAGGCTTCTATTACTCTTACTTCTTTATTAAACAAAACGAGCAAAACCCACACTGGCCAAAGGAGGTACTCCTACATTTTTTATTATTTAGCTACATTTCTATTTTCAAGTTATTGCTATAGCCTATATATAACTTATTCATTAATCTTCCTTCACTCGATTTGTAGCCCCAAGGAATGGACATAATAACGTTTCTGTTACATTCCATCTCCTATTTGGTGGAAAAGGTTTGATCCATAAGCTAAGATGCTAAAAATAACTGAGAGCAAGATTCAAAAGTCTATAAACTACAATAGCAACAAAACTAGACTAGATTCATAGATTGAGAAATCCATTTCTGTTACAAATGTAAAACAAAAACTACTTATGCTGCCATTCCATCTTTTGAGCATGATAAACCTGACAAAAGTAATATGAGCATAATTATTGCTTATATCTGCCTACTTAAGTAATTATAAGAGGGTGAAAAAGAAGACCATTGATCAGCTTATTTTACTAATAAGCTATATATTAAAAACATCGTTATAACGTGATAACAAAATACCATTGGATAAGCTGTTTCAAATATATTTATATACAATTGGGACAATAGAATCCTTTTTTACACAAAAGCTATATATTCACCAACGTCATCATGCATTGAAATTAAAATAAAATTGGATGATAGAATATATACCTTGGCTTCATAACCTAAATATTCCTTTTCAAGATTATTTGTAGGGCTTAGAAGTTTTGACTCATCATTCTCCAGCACGGATTCCTTTGACCTGTCCAGAGTGATCTGATAGATAAGAAGCCATACTTCAGAACAAATAGAATCTTGATAACAAAACGGAAGAGGTTACCTCTGCCTCAAATTTTTCAAGTTCTCCACAAATTTTTCAATACGGCTGATCGACGGCTCCAACTCTTTCTATATCAGATCATCCACGCAAGGTTTCAAACATGGGGGGTCAGAGCTTATTCAAAAATCATAACTCATATTTCATGTGGCATCTAAGATACATGTATTCTTCAGAGAATATTATAAATACCTTATAAGCAGATAGAAGATCAATAGCCAATTTGACAAAGTAACCTTCATGTCTTTCCAACGCATCACTTCAGAAAGAAAAGAAGCAAGTATCTAAGTGTAACAAAACTCAATGGAGAAGAAATATTGCACGTTGCTTTTTTGCATATTTTCTCAATAGACCACTAGAAAAATCCCTTGACAAAGTTCTAATACTAACCATGTTGAAGAAAAATACCAAACATAGCAATAAAATACATACTTAACCTCCTTCTCCTTATTTTCTCTATATAGGCATTGGATATTCCACGTATCTTCCAGAAAATTAATCCACATATTCAAAACATTTGATTCTGCCTTACACGAGGCAATGGATTTTAACAGCTCATCTTCCTGAAAACATTCAGAGATACATATAATGAATAAAGACAAGAACTTTCAAGAAAATAACATAACAATACATCAAAATTAACCAAAAAAATGCACCCTTGTCTTTATATGTGCGACAATCTTGTTGTTGGCCTCCTCAAACTGCTCTCTCTCTTCCACTATATTGCGCAGGCGTGCATGGGCAGCAGCCAAGGAGATATTAACCTATGCCATATAGTGACAGCATATGTCAGAGTAAACACAAGTATGTGGAACATAAATAAAAAAAATATTTAAAATTCTATGGATACACAAACACGAACTTCATAATCCATTAATGAAACCATAGATGTGCAAATGTAGATTAAGTCCTATAAATGACAAAACCATGATGAACTTTCAATTATCATGGGATCAAAGATATCAATATAACATACACAAAAAAATAAGGCTTTTCTAACATTACATTTACAACAACGATACTCATTAGCTTATATAAAAATCTTCAGGCACCTCAGGCACAGGAATGTCTTATATTATCAATGATAAAATTACGGCATGCAACTTTGTACGAGTAGAGTGAATGACCAGCACAAGTGAAAAGGGGCTCAATTTTACAGTATATCATGGTTTTAACCAAGAGATAGGGGATAGAAGAAAAACCTTTTTCAATTGAGCTTCAATATCATCTCTCTGTCTTTCAAGTTCTGCAATTTCTGTAGCTAGTTCCTGTAAATAATTGAAAACATAAACTCAAATTATCTCCTTACAAAAGTTGAGAATAATCTGTATGGTTCTAATTATGCGTCATCTGTATAGTCTCTATCATATACGTGACACACAGTTCAAAATAGATATGAATTTTGACCGAGAACACACAATAAAATAATGTTGCAAAGTAGTTTCTTTTCTCATTACAATTTACAATCCAAAACACCAAGATACTGACATAAAATTGGAAATTGTTTTAAGTTATTTTTTCAAAAAATAGTTTTTAAACTGTTTTTTTATAATATTTTCCATTAATTTTAATTTTAAAAACTGGTTGTTACAGATTATATTTAATCATTGTGCTCTCTGATTTCAAAAATTATCCTATGAAACAAATTTTATGGTTGTTTTGATTCCCTTTGTCTGGCTGATCTGCTCGTATGGACCCCTGGGGAAAATGGCATTTTTTCCATGAAGTCGCTCACAATCTCTCACTCGGCTGGTGACAGTATTCTACCCCTGGCTTATGAAGATGGATTTGGAAGATGAATGCGCCAAAGAAACGCAGAACGTTACATAAGACCCTCACCCTGGGATGCTGTATCCCAAATACAACAGGCAAAATTCAGTATAGCATCCCCACATGGTACTTAGCCCATCTTGGTGCTGCCTTTGTACAAGGGCTAGCGAAGATCCCAGGCATATGTTCTTCTCCTGCCCACTTCCTAGTTCCTATGAATCTACGGAGCTATCTCCTTGAAGATTTCAGTCCTCAATGGGTCCACAACTATTCCTTATCCCTGCCCTACGCCATATTTTTTCCAGACAGCCTTTCTCCCGCTAGAAACAGGAACTTTTTTTCTCCTCGCCTGAACAGCCTACTTTTCGGTCCTTTGGATGGAAAGAAACAACTGCATCTCCAGCATAGAAAGACCCCTCAACCAGCTCTGGAATTATTTTTCTTGGATAGGAAACAATTTTTTTTATAATATGAAAGGTTATATAATGGTTAAACTCATCTAAAGGATTACAAAAAACTTCTCCAATAGAATAAAAGAGAGTTTAAGCTGTAATTACAAAGAGGTTGACCAATTTTACACTAATATAATGCCAAGAAGAGGATCGAATTTATAAGGGCTTCATGGGGTTTTCTTTGTCTTGAAAAACCCAAACGTTGCATTCGTTCCACATTACCGAAATGAAAGCTCAAGTTATGTTCATCCACAGACCTCTTTCCCAGATTGAAGGGGTGATCTTTAAGAATAAGCGACAGCCAATCTTGAACATTGTGAGGGGTTGTGAGTCAAGCCCTGGGATTATGTTATTTATTACGAGTCTTTGTGCGCTATTAAGTCAAAATCCCTTTGTAATTACACTTCTTATTTACAGACCAATTGGAGAGCTCCTTGGTCCTCCCGTATTTTCCACTCATTTAATGGGAAGTGGTTGTTTCTTATTATTTAATAAAAAAAATCTGCATATTAAAAAAAATCTATTTTTCATTTTTAAAAACTGAAAACTATATTTAAATACTACTCCCAAACAACACCTAACCTTCTCTTTTTCACCAACTTCACTTGCTTTGGTCATACGAACATTTAGTGCTTCCTCTTTCTGCGATCTGCAAAGCAAATGAAGGGAAAAAAATTATCACAAATGCATGAAATGTCGATCATAAAACATGAAACCCTCATGATAAAATAAATAAGAAAAGATAAAACAGGATCTTTGATAACCCTCATACAACCTTCTTCGATAGAATGAAGTCTATAAATTAAAAATAAAAATAATAATAAAAAGTCCAAAGGATGACAAAAGTCAGCCTGAAAGGACCAATAGATTAGATAAATGTACATTCATTCAAAAATAATAATAATAATAACTCTTTAAGAAAACATACATCCATATCCATTCCAACCAGAAATTAGCAAATATAAGAAAAAGAAGAAGATTACAAAAAATGCTTGGTATTGAAAACCTCCAGAGAGGTATTAAGCCTAAATCTATCTCCTACCGCCTCGGTGTTACCCTCCGGAATGATCAAAAACATATTTATTGATAACTTCTGGATCTCCAGAAAAATGCACCATTTCATTAGTCCATAAGATCTATAGTGCTCCTTGGTAATCAGTGGAGAAACCCTAGAACACCCCCTTTATCCAGAGTGTAGGCCCAAGGGCTTAAAAATACCAGTCAAAAGATATTATCTAGAAGAGTTTCAAGTGGAAAAGCATTCGGTAGTCAAAAACAATTTCATGTGTAAAAGTTGAAAACGGATAATACAGAGAATATCAACATACAGAAAAGGAAACGAGCTACATGTATGAATTCAAATTCATTATCATTAAGGAAACTGGGATCTTTACCTATGATCTGTAATGCGCTTTTCAGCTTTCACAGAGGAGTTTGAAAGAGACTCTGACAAGACTTTCAATTTATCAATCTGTATAAGTAGAAAAGTTTACAGCCACATACAACTTATTTCAGCCCATAGGCTAACTTTAACACATGTACAAAGGGTAAAGATAAAAATAAGACCGACAGGTATCAAGGCATCTCCAGAGCCATACCTTTTGAGCATGGATTTCAGGAGAATCTCCATTGTTTAATAATTTCTTCTTTAGCAGCAGTCCTTCCACTCTAGAACAAATTCGTATGTGTGAAAGTGCTGCTTTCAATGCCTGCACATAAATGGAACAGTGAAGTTCCCAAATACTTTTTTTTCCCTACGCATCAGCTTCATGATCGAGAATTACAAGACAGTCCATATTACAAGGTGTAACTCTGTTCTGTAGACTACAGTACATAATGTGAAGATATTGCTTTTGAGAGAAACAAACATTTACCTGGTAACTAGTAAGTATGATAATGGCCAGTTGGAAGGAGAAATAAAATAGAAGGTGCAATCTAGAGACAATAAATGTACTGATATCCCAATAAAATATTTAAGGTTCTTTATTGGATGAACAACTCATCAACAATATGGTAACTGACGCTCACTGCTCCGAAATTCATCAAAAATGAATTTAACTATTTAAGCATATTTATCAGCCGTAGTTAGTCCACTGCTTAGGCACTTACTTTTTGTACTTTTTTATTTTATCAATGAAAAGCTTCATAGTTCCACATAAAAGAAATAATAACAATAACAACTTTTGTCAACAGGCTTACCTCAATTGTTTCTATGGTGGTTTCTTCTGGTGTATTGCCATAACTTGCATTTGCAGACATCTGAGAAGCTGAAATTCCTTCTAGTTTTTTCTTCAAATTGGACAATTCAGTATCTACTCTGTGGCCATAAAGCGACACAAATAATTGAGGAAAGACTATTACATCAGCTTATTCTGACCATTTAACATCTATTCCCTTCTTTCTCATGTAGTGCATGTTCGCAGGTGAAGTAGTGATGATGGGTGCAGTTCAAATTAAGAAAGCATACTGTTCCCAAAAATCATTTTATTTGCACGCAGCCTAGACTTGGGACATTCTTAATCCCCTTCATTACTTATGGTAATGCATATAGAAATTGAAAATTACTTTTTGATAATAGAAACTGAAAATCATTGAGCAGGCATATGGCATGCAGCAGGTAGAATCAAGAAAAGGTAAACAACATAAAACAATAGTACATTATCTTTGAAGGTGGAAATCAATCCTGAATCCTCAAAGCCTAAGGCTTGTAAAGGAAAGGTATATCTAGCATCCAATTGTTATTAATTTTTTTTTTCAATTTGCTCACTATCTATGGGTAAGACAGGATTAATATTTGGTCAGATCAGATGGAATGACTACATGACCTTTTTTTCCTTTGAATAAAAACCATAACATTACCAAAAAATTGTTTACAAAAGGAAGGCCCGAGAAGATTTTAGATACCCACTCGCATAGGGTAAGGAGGTTACAAGGGGCTCCCTAATCGACATTAATCAAACAAGAATAAACCTTTTTTAAAATGAAACAAGAAGGCTAGAATAAACCCTTGACCCCTGAGGCTGCCAAACCCACTAAATAAGCATAATTACTGCATAGCAGAGATAAATAATAAAACATCGGTCAAACAAAAGTTGCAGAAGTGGAAATCATGAAGGAATAAAATTACTCATTTCTTACTCACCTCCCAAGATCAGCACTAATCTTCAACCCTGAAATCGCGCTTTGTGCAAATTGGAGCAATTCCTCCCGCTTCACCTGTATTTAAGATCTTCCGTAAACCTTTGCACAAAGAAAAGAGATGGAATGGGGAAATGCAATAGATCTAGCAGCCTCATCTTACTAATTCACACATCCATACAGTGGAAATCACATGAAGATTATTAGAGTTGAATTTGTAACATATTGATGATTAATAAAAATATGGAAGATTTTCTCAAAAAAAAAGGAAAGGAAAAAAAGCAATTATATTCTGATTATTGAAAGGAAGAGAGAAATAACCTTAAGAAGAGAAAATATAAATTAGGTGCCTCCTCAACTTGTCGTACAACTCTTTTATATCATTACATTATTACTATTACCATTGGTTATTCTTACGCTTCAGAAATAACATCTCTTAACATCAAAATAAAAACAAAGAATGAAAAAAGCTCTGAAGCAATTAGCTACTTCCAAAAGGCCTGAGATACTTGGGTTCTCATTTCTCAAAAAGGGAATGTACACAGCCTAAGAAACTCGTTAGTTACAAACAACTTACAACCTACAAGTACTCGTTTACACTTGAATGATGAAATCCTCTGAGAAACAACAAGAATGCATTTTCATACATAAAACAATTGTAGAATAGAAAGATGGGATCCTTGTGGTTTTCAAAACTTCAATTCAGACTATGTATGTTTAAACCCTTCAAAACTTTACCAATACTTCATCCTCGTAGCTGGAAAAGGATTTTGCCAGATCTTGTATGCTGCTAACTACTGCATTATGAACTTCTTTCCCCCCAATAAGACATAATCTGCAGGAAAAATTGTTAGAAATTTCTTAATCAAAAAACTGATCTCAAGAAATATTGGCATACCGCTTCTTATTCCCATCAGAAACCAAAGAAGTTAAATTAAAAAACAAGGTAAAAGGGCTTGAAACAGTGGCAAGAGCAGATGACTCATAAACTGGAAACCAACAGTCCAATTCAAAGTCAACACTTTGAGGCCAAGAAAAGTAAAGATAAAGACAGTTGGGGCCTGTTGCCTTAATATGACTAAAATATAGAACTCCTAGCATCTCCTACGGATAAAAAACTTAAAAAAAATAAATAAAATAATCCCCTTAACTTCATGAATATAAATATCGTGAAAATTTGAAGATGCATCTTTGGGATGCTTAATAATTAGTACTTCCAGATAGCAATCATGAACTATACTAGTAGCTTAAGTGAGGGACAGACCCAAACATGTCCTGGAGAAGAGACACTTCTTCCTCATTTGGTGCTTCAAGAATCTGAAACACAGAAATTAGTTAATTTGTAGGAATCTCCTTCGTGACCAATTAAAAAAACACAAAAGTTGACACCAGAAATCCAGACCCATGATCTGAACACAGTAAAAAACAACTGCGAATGGAATAATGATAAAATAGCAATCTAACAGTTCAAAATATGATGTGGGATGTCTCACTTGCATTCATTTCCTCCATATTCAATAAATCTAACTGATTCATCAGTCAAGCAAAAAAAAATGTGGAATGGGAACTAAGTTCCCATCGTCGCTCAATAGTACAACTTTTTATATCTCCACCTCACACAAGTATCATGCACTGCCTCTCCATTTTGTATAAAATCTATATAACATTCATAGTTCAATAACTAAAAAGAAAAAATTCACAAACTTGTAGCTTTTGCATAAATTTCCATATTCTACCTTAAGGAAGATTGCATCGATCAGCACTCAGATAGCACAGCTATACATTGAATTCAAAATTGATTTTTGAAATAAAGTAAATCTTATTAGGTGGCAAATATTCGATAACGATAATCAAGCAATGTTCTTAATAATACAAGTCCAAAAGGCATATTAATCTTGAACTCCAAACATCTTTAGAAAACTATACTATCAACTACCCACAAAGCTACAGTGATCCCATTTCTCTCCAGTTTGACTCATAATCATAAGAAATTACCATTGTTGTCAAATGCAAGAATTCCATTTTATTTTTTAACAAATTTCTTATATCATTCAAAGAACTATGTATCTCTTCATCAACAAAGTTGATAATAAATAGCACACCTCTTTTCACACGAATGTTCGATCCTAGTCAAAAGCTAAAACTGGTCCTTCAATTCAGGCCTAATAACCTCTCATCAAAACTTTACTGCAGAAACCTCATAACAATTAACATAACAGCATATTGTTCTCTTTGGTGCAAGTGCATTCAAAATGTCATAGTAAGGTGATACTAAACATGTACAACTCCATCATTTCCCAGTCGCAAGTCACCAATCTAGAGAAAGGACGTCATCAAGTTAACATACCATAGATAATGTAATTCCCTCCAGAGCTTGACTTTGAAGAAAAACATCACAAAAGTTCATTGGTTCCCCTTCAACATCAGGGTCATAATATAAAACCTATTCATTATGGTAAAAAGGTCAGAATGTAATAAACACAGAAGGAAAGAAGTTTCGCAAACCAACTACATTCAAAAAGTATTTTGGAATTTTCAAAAGATAATTAGGTAATTCTGAAATTAATTTTTAGTACTTTGTAAATATTTCAAACTTTCAAATGCTTGTTAATGCAAGAAAAATATGTGATGCTGACATTACAAGTCAATTAACTAAAACCCCACATAAATAAAAGGTCGACTGAATTTATTTTACATCTCTAATTGCTGCACCACCAAATAATGCATGGTCATAGGTAAATAAATGTCCTTCTTGATCCCCATAACATTTCAAAATCAATGCACAGAGTAACTTTAACGTCAAATATAAAAATCCATGAGGTCAGAATCCAGAATTCTAGAAAATGCACCAAAAACTTTTGAAAAATTGCTTGTTTAGTGCTCAATTCTTAACCGTATACGCCAATGAGGTAGGGGTAATCAACACATGTTGTAGAAGCACAAGTATTTATGAACATACTTGAAGTGGGGAGGTGTTCAGAAAAAAATTTACTCACAATAGCAGGCTGTCTCGGGCTCTCCTTTGCATCTTCAAAAGCAAGATGTTGCTCCAGGGTCTTTGCTTTCTCCTCAGAGGTAACATCAGATAATTTTTTAACCTCTTTAAGCACAACCAACCACCTTTTCAACAACAGAGTTCTTTCAGGGCCCCTACAAGACACAGCAGCTTCTTCCAATCTTTGTATAGTCTGCCTGACACTTCTGAAATTCCGTGCCCCCTACATCCAAAAGAAAAAACCGATTGAATTAATATAATTAAATAGCCAATCTCCCTAATAGGAAATCTTAAGCGGCTAAGCAGACGCAGCAAAACCAACAATACTCGGAAAGATAATCCACAACCGTATTAAGTAAAAAATTAAACTAAATGGTCGACAACTTTTTCTGTTCGGATTGAACGATGGGTGCAATTAATCTTTATAATAAAGTAATAGGAAGACAAATTTTTAGGTAGCAGTGCCCAGAAACGTCAGGTCGATACATACTCATATCCATGGGAAGCCCCCGAAACCGATTATCTCTCTCTCTCTCTCTCTCTCTCTCTCTCTCTCTCTCTCTCTCTCTCTCTCTCTCTCTCTAAATAAGAAACAAAACCATCAGAAATCGATTATTTCCCCGCTTAAAATATAATAATTATTCGCCCTAAGCTACTACTCCGAAATTCATCCCATCCTCGTGTCCGTACGAAAGATTCACCAAAATTCAAATCCATTTCTTAATGCCTCCGCGTGCAATTTCAGCTAACGCTTGCATAAAAATAAATAAATAAATAATAAAAACGCTACGTAGAAAGAAATCAAAGCGAAGAAAGAAAAATGCATAAGAATTCAACGAGATTATAAGAACTATCCAACATTTCCAAATTCCACCGCAGCTCAAAACGACACCAGACCAGGAAAATCAAAAACATAACAAATGAAATTGAAACAGGGGAAGTACAATGCGATCTTGGAGAATTTTGGCACCCTCGGCAACGGCCTGGCCGGCGTGGTGAACGACGGTGTCGGCATAATTCTTGACGACGCGAGTGAGGTTGCTATTGTTCCCAACCTCCACCGCCTTGCTCACTGCCAATCTCAGCCACGACATTTCGGATTCCTTCTAATCTGTATCGAGATTTTGCGAAGTAATTTGCAATGGAGAATGATGAGGATGGAGACAAGACGCTACGGAGGAAGAAATTGATCCCGCATGGAACCCAGCTTTTAGGGGTTTATGTGTTCTGCAGAAAATGGCGCAAAGTGTTCTTCTGAAATGGGGAAGTCAATTTGGCAGAGTCAGCGATGCTGGGGAATCTAAACGCTGTCGTTTCGAGATTACTACCGGATAACCGTAACGGCATGGCTCGAACCCGGCCCAGTTAGTACTCATGCGGCCCAGGCCCAGGCCCAATTCTATGTAAAAAAAAAAGGTCTTATTTTACGAAATTATTAGGATTTTTTCTTTTATGGACGTACTCTTGCACTTTTTTTCTAATAAATACATTTATAATTCTGTTTCAAATTAATGTTTAGATTTAATTTAAATATTGAACTCTTTCTGTTTGTTCCTAAAATATCAAACATTTCCATTTTAATCCTAAGCATTCTACAAAATCCTATTTTACTCATTGTCATTCAGTTTAATTTTAACAAGTACCTAATATAGGTACATATTTTGATTGTGAAGATAAATCATTAGTTCAGTTTCTATGGATTGTTTTAGGATTGTTATTAGTTAGTAGTAACTTATGGGTTATTATTAGTTCTTCAATCGTAATTATTCAGTTCAACCGCCACTTTAGCTTACTTTTCATTAATATAGAGAATACGTTTAAGTGAAAATGTATTTTATTGTTTCTGTTATTCCTTTTTCTCTTTATGATATAACATTATGGCTTGAGAGATCCCATTTTAACAACATTTTTCTTTTATCTCCATCCGTGCTTCGCCATGTGTGTTTCGAGTTTATCTCAAAATTCAAACATAGCACCTTTGCGTAAAGAGCTAATATTGGCAATCATATTAAAATGATTACGCTTATAGAATGTAATTACCTCCTATGAAAATTACAAATTCTTACGCATCTACAAGGTTATGGTCTCGGTCTCGAAAGGTTTGTCGTCTCTGATGACTCAACATGGAATGTTAAAGACAATTAATTTTTTCTTGGTTACTTGATTCAACCGTGAAATAAGTTGTTCAATACATACTCGGTCGTGACACTAGTCTCAGAAATTTGGAAGGGATTGTTATTAGTTACTTCTTGCCTATTATTATGGTTAATGATTGAGTTTTTCAGTTGTAATGATTATTCACTTTTCAGATATAACATTTTAGTGGGCATATACTTTCTTGTTTGTGTCATTCATTCTTCTTTCCATATGATATCACAACATGTTTTATTTATTCGATCAACGTATATCCATATATTTAATTCCTACAAGTAGCTGTCTATATGAAATGGGCCCAATTGTTGGAATAATTAAATGATAAATGGTTAAACTTTTGAATCTCGTTGAATTAGTTAATGCATATGCAACTTGATCAATCAAAATACCGTGAGTTCGAATTTCGACCCCTACATACTATACTAAAAAGAAAAAAAATTAGTGAGAGTTTTTTATTTTTTAATCTATGAGTGTTCGGGGTAGATTACGCACACCTCGACTAATCTCATGAGATAACCGAATTGTGGCTCAAATATCATATTAATATTTATAATATTCTATCTCAAAATCAATTGATAATAAGAGAGGTAGCTTATGTTTATTATAACTCGTTCAATGGTAATTGACATATATCTTCAATTAAAATGTTGTGAGTTCGATCTCCACCTCACATGTGGTACTAAAAAAAAAACCCTTGTTAGATCTTTATTTTATCAATGTGAGATCTTAAACACTTCTTAATACAATATGATTTTATTTAATGTTACTTCATAAGTTACCGAGAAATGAGCGGGTTGAAATTAAAACTTTTATTTATAAGCTGTCGACAAATTAAAAAAACAAAAGAGTTGATTTCATTTAACCACATTATCTTAAAATAAATCAATAAAAAAGAACAATTAAGTGTCATTATACTACCTAGGAAATTACATCAAGTTGGCTTTAGCTTTAACTTATGCTATAGTTTTTATCAACCTTACTATTAATAATAATGTAATTAATTTATTAGTTATATTTATTAATTTTAAGTAGTTGTCATTATTATAAATCTATCCCCAAAAATTGAACCCAATCCTCCATTGGACTCACAAAACATTGAAACAAATAGAGTTCCCTTTCTATCAACAAATATGCTTTCAAATTCACCGGGTTATCTTCGTACATCGAAGAATAGAACGTTATTTTGGTTATTACTGATCATCTTCTTCACATTTCATGTCGTCTCAGTATGTTGCGGTAACTTGTTTCTATCTCGCTATACAATTTTATTCTTTTTTTTTAAACTTCAATCTCTATTATGGTTCTTATCTTTATCTTAATTTTGATTTAAGATAAGAACGTATGTAGGTTTAGATTAGAGAGTTATTTGAGTAAATTAAAGTTAGCATTTCACTATAAAATTTTTCTATACCATATTATATTAAAAATATTGAATAATTATCGGTTAATCTAACTATATAGTTAAATAGATAAGTCTAACTCCTAAAATAAAAATCAAACCTACTAATATTTTAACAACACTTACTTTCTGTTAATTAATTAATATTGTTACAGGGTGATCTAATTAATATATATGATAAAATTTAGAATTTAAAAAGGATAAGAATTAAATTGGAAAGAAAGTAAAAAGATTAGGGATAATTTGCTTACTATTTCATATAAATTTTATTTATTTATTATTATTATCACTTTTTTTTTTTTAGTCTCCCGTGACGATTGGGTGAACATCGACTGCGGCAACGACGAACTTATTTTTGTGGACGAGCATGCAGTTTTTTGGGACTCCGACGATCTATACACCGACGCCGGAATCAACCAAAAAATCCGAATAAATAAAGATCAAGCGCTCGAAATTCTAGACACGCTCCGATATTTCCCTTCCTCGAGCCAACAGAGTTGCTACAAATTACCGATTTATCAACAGAGTCTACGATACCTCGTAAGATCGGGATTCCTCTACGGCGATTACGACGGCCTGAATCGGACGCCGGCGTTCGATCTCATCCTCGACGGCAAGAAACTGACGGCGGTCGAGCCAGCGTCAGCGACGGAGGCGATAATCGACGAATTGGTCTACACATCGGGGAGTTCTGGAGTGATGAATTTGTGTTTGGCGCAGAGGAAAGACGGCGGAATTCCGTTCATCTCTTCGATTCAGGCGGTCCCGACGGTCGACGATTTGTATTCGAAGATGCAATCGAATGAAACTTTCCGCGTCGTTGCTCGGATTAACTATGGGAGAGACGATGAATCGTATGACTCTAAATTATAATCTGCACTTTGGTTATATCATATGTGTTTTACTCTCTCGGTATTTTTTCAATTTATTATTCATTATTTAAATATTTTTAAAAACCTTGATTTTTATTGAAATGGGTGAATTTAAAGAATTTTTAGTTTATTTCGTTGAAATTGTGGGTGAATGTAGTGGATGTAGTAAAAATTGAAATCGTGGGTCCTGTTTGATGAAATTTAAAATTGTAAGGTAACAAAATTATTATTCTGCTCAAATTGATGATTATAAATTGAAAAATTCCCATTTTATGTTTGATAGTTTTGTTTTTTTATTTATTATTTTGAAAAAAAAAACGTCTAGATGGATAATTTTTGTGATTTTTTAGTACAATTAAGATTTGAAAACCGTATTTTATTTTAAAGTAAAATTATCGTGCTTGGTTTCAATTTTGCTTTTAATTCTACTTCTAAACTCTTTAGTTTCCCTCCGGCACTTTAATCATTGATGGATTTTCTTTTATGGCAAATTTAATGGAAACTAGAATGGCAATTTTGAAGCTAATAAAAAAATCAAAGCTAAAATATAAAATTTCTAAACTTTTTTCAAACTTTAAGTGCATCAAAAAATAAGTGTAATTTCTACTCGTGCATCGCTCAACTAATTTAAGTATCTATTTTTTACTAAAAGATCCTAGTTTGTCAAAAAAATTTACTAATCTAACCACCACTCGTATGTTTGTCATCGCTAATAAAGATAAAATGCTGGATAGATTCCCACCTTGTAATAAAAAAAATAAAAAATATGTGCTTAATAAGTCTTTAGTTTAATCCAACTTTTGTTTTAGTATAATATGTAGGGTGTAGATTCAAACTCGACCTTTTCAATCGAAGATTAGTGTCTTAGATTGGATAGCTTAACCCAAACAAATTAGAAAAACACACCGTTCATTTTGATCACTGTATTTTCAAATCATTTTGGTCATTGTACTTTCAAAATGTTCATTTAGTCTCTGAAAAATGACCATTTTGTTTCCTTAATATTATTTGTAATATCATTTTTCTATCACAATTTCAATACACGACGCCACACTTAATATATTTTTTAAAATATAACTCTGACTTTAAGTTTCAATTATGTTTAGATTTTATGCTTAAATTGTGTAGATAAGGACCAGTACAATAATTAAAATAACCTAAAGTTAAAATAAATGACAAAACATTTTAAAACAACAAATTAGTATTTTAATCTAAAATTTAATATTCTTACCCTTTGATTCTTCGAGAAACAGAACTTCCCCGTTCGAGGACGATGATTACGGGAGGACGTGGACGTCCGGAGCGACACCCCCGAACTGCAACAACATATCGGCGATTCCCGATTTCGAATCGCCGGAAAAAAATCCTCCGCCGTTCGTGCTGCAGGAAGCCATTGAATCCGACAACGCATCTTCTCCGATTGTCCTCACTGTCGATTTCCCCAAAACCTCCTCGCAGTCGCAATCGGCTTACTTCGTGCTCTATTTCACCGAAGCGGAGGATTTCTTGAGGGAAGACAACAGAACCATCAACATCCTCATCGACGGCCAGAACGTGTCCACGATTACCACCAGTGTTAGCAAATGTACGGTGGTTACTCTGTATCCGGTTGATGTGAGGAAATCGATGGTGAACGTGTCGCTTGTCGCTGCAAATTCCTCCGGCTTGCCGCCGTTGATCAGTGCGATGGAAGTTTTCACTAAAGTTATTCCTATCGGCGGCGCCGGCGCCGGGCCGGCGGTGCAGTTTACTCTGTTGTCGTTTGTGCTGATGCTTAGTGGTTGTGTATTGGCCAATTTACTGTGATTCTTCTTCCTCTTTTAATTTGAGCCCTAATTCTTTAAATTTTCACTGCGCAAAATGTTCCTAAAATCACGAATAATATAACATTGTTTTTTTTTTCTTTAGAAAATTTTAATTTTAGAATTGTTGCTGATCACCGTTGTTTTGTTTCCTCCAGTTGATTGTATTTCTTTGCTACCCTCTCTAAAAAAATAAATAAATAAAAATAAAATTAATGTTATCTTCTTTGGGAATAAATTTTAATTTATCGGATAAATTTTTTTGATTGATGCATGTTTCATTGAGATCAGCATTTCTCCGACCTCATTTTACAAATATTTCTCAGCTTCTTGATGGAGACTGAAATGTCTATATTGTTCATATTTATCATGAAGCCAACTTCTAGGCAGACTGGTTTGCTAATAAGAATATTAATCTCCCTTTAGGTTTTCACCTTTGTACCGAGCCGTCTAACGGTCTCTATCCGCCTTTGATTACTTGTCTCGTAGGATTCTTACACCCCACCTCATTGCTTGCTCTTGGACCTGGAATGAATTTGGAAATGTTATTCTTTTAATGTTGTTTACCATAAATTTTTTGGAATCGAGATTATAACTCCTTTAGTTTGGAATCGGAATCAGAATCGGATATATAACAGTTACTAGTATACGCCTGTTTTCTTTTTAGCCTATAAAAAATACATTGTGGTGCTATTTTTTTTTAATTATATTTATAATTTTTTTTATTACTATATTATTGATAGTAAATATTTTTTTTACCAAAACAATTTATTTAATATTAATATTAATAAATAATAAATAATTAAAATAAAATTACATCTACTAAAATACTATTTAATTAGGACCATCATCATTTAATATAAAATATTGTTAAATTTTATTATAATAATATTTAATAATAATGTTATCTATTATTATAATAATTAATAATAATGAATTATATTTTAAAAATATTATATTAATTAATAATAACAATATTAAATATTATATAATAATATCACATCAACTCATAAAAGTGATATAAATTTTTATTAAAAGAAAAATTATTAGTAGTATAAATGAAAAAAAGTATAAAACAACTAAATAAAAAGTTCTGAGTCTCATCAATCATAAGAGAGAAATGATAAAAGTAGAAAAATGATTGCAATAAATGAGATTGATAGTATGTAGAAGACGAATGAGATTGGCCCTTGAGAATGAAAAAATTGGGTGGTCCCACAATTTGATTCTCATTCGAACAAAACAATTTGGTAAACATCATGAAATAAAAAAATTAATTCTCATTCCTTGATTACGAATCCTTTGAAGTAAACATGAACTTAATTCTTCTCGCATTTACTCCTATCTCTTCCTTGAAAAAATGTTATCTAATTTGTTCTCAAATTATATTTTTCAATTCTACTAAATTTATGTTCCACTCAGTCATAAAACTTTAAAAAACGTATATAGTTGTCTCTTCTAAATTTCATTGCTTTATATTTAAAAAATTAAGAACAAAACTTATAACGGTTAAATCACATTTATCAAATATATATATTTTCATATTTATGATCTTTTTAGAAAAGGTAGAACTAGAAAAATATTATCTAAAGTTGTTTAATCTGAAGCTCTTTAATTTGGGGAGTTCTCGTCGAGACGCCATCGATAGTTTAGTTTACTTTTCAGTTCAAAAAGCTAACTTTTAAAAGAGAAACAAATTCTTATATTTAATTTAAATAATATGGGAAAAATTTTCCGCAGCCAGGATTCGAACCTGGATTTCAACAATTGAAACTGCCAAAGAGCGGTTGTGCTACTGCGGATTCGATGCACAAAAATTATTTTAAATCTATTAATGAACTATCACTGCTGAATCATTTTAACAAATTAATTAATATTTTATATTAAATCTTATTTAACGCTTAAACATATTAAAATTTATAAAATTTGTATTAAGTAGCTAAAATATTTATCATATGTGTAAATAGAGCAACAAATTTTCAAATTTTTAAATATGACAAAAATATTTAGAACCTATTTTTTATTTTTTAGCTGTTCCTATTTTACTCTTCTAAATTTTCATATATATTAATGGTGAAATCAAAACTTTTATGGTTTAATTATAAGGTATTTTGTCCATAATCTTTCAAAAGTTTATGTCTAATAAATTCATATATTTTAACGGATAAAATTTCCATATTTAGATTCCCATTAAGTGCATATATATGTATATATTAATATATTATTTTCAATCATAAACTCTGGTCTCATATCTGGTACGTTAGAGTATTGAGAAGACCTTTTTTCTAGTACGAGACAATTGGAAAGGAGGCAGTTCTGGTATACAAGTTATCATGCCCATAATAAATACTAGATAGTCAAGTGCCATAAACTTATAATGTATACTCTGCACGACCATACATAAAATAAGAATAACACTTGGAGAGGAGGACAAGTAGCTAAGTCTACCGCATAAACATTTATAAACTACTCTACCATAATTTCTAATCGATAATTCCAATTTTATTATAATAGCATTTAGAAATTGATTTTTTAAAAAAAAAAGTCTAAAATAAAACTAAAACAAAGAAAAGTCACTTGCAACTACATCCTGAATCCAAGCAGCAGAAAAGTTAGAAATCCATCATTCTTCCTCATCGTTGTGCGTCGCTCTCCTCGCCAATTCGTGGGCCACTGAATTATTCCCTCTGTTGATGTGGGCGATCGAAACAATTCCTCTCGTTTTCGCTAATTCCACAGCTTCCTCAACAAGCCAAATATTTTCTGTTAGATCGACGTCCTCCTTCTTCATTAATCGAGTTACTTCGACTGAATCTAATTCAAGGTAAATTGGACTTCTACTTTGCATGTTGATGGATTGGAGTCCTCGAATTATCGCCATTAGTTCTAGGGCTTTGATTTCCTTCTTCTCCCTGATTTTACAGTTTCCAGCCAAAACAATCTCCCCCCTACAGTCACGAAGAATCCACCCTAGGCCACCTACTTCGCGCTCCTCACTCCACGATGCATCTGTATTGAGTTTCCAGCAATTGGTACGGGGAGCACTCCATCGAGCGCCAAGCATGTTGAGATTCTCCCTTCCTCGTGGCAGGTACCCATCATTTTGTTGGCTCCTTCTCGTTTGGGATATGCATGTGCCTTTATCTATGTTGGAATTTATGAACAAGACTATTGATCTGCCTAGTTGTTGTTCATCAATGGTTTCTCCTCTAAAGATGCTTCTGTTTCTGCTATCCCATATCTGCCAAGCAATAACCATGCTAGTAGCCACCTCTTCATCTGAAAGCATGTTCACCAACTAGTTCCAACTGTCCTTGTTCGTCCAATGAGCTCTGTTAACACCAAAATGAGCATAGTAAGTAGGAAGAAATTTACTCCAAATATTCCTAGTTACCTTACATTCCCATAAAAGGAGAAACCATCTCCTACACAAGCCACAAACAAGATCAGTTGAAATTCCTTTCTACTTAAGGTTCATTTTGGTTGGAATGATATCGTGGTAAATTTTCCAACAGCAAATTTTAACTTTAGGGGCAGCTTTTGACTTCCAGAATTTCTTCCACATTTGTCGATGGGAATCCAAATTGGAAGTGGAAGCTAAATTAGCGTTCTCAAGTTCCATTCCCAATTTATAAGCACTTTTCACACTGAACACTCCCCTTTTATCTCTATTCCAAATGACTTCATCTGCCCGACAATGTCTAGGAAGAGGGATTTGGAGAATTGCTTCGGCCTCTTGAGCATTGAAGGACTCCCTGATGAGCTCTTCATTCCAGCTGCCTCTCTCCCTAATCAAAAGAGACACACTGTTGTATTTTAAGGACTCTTGGGCTTGAAGGATCCTACTACTTCCTTCCCTTGGGAGCCAGGGATCAATCCCAATTGTAACTGCTGACCCGTTGCCAATTCTCCATCTGAAGCCTTTGTCAAAGAGCTTTTTCCCCCAAAGGATACTTCTCCACATATAGGACGGGTTTTTCCCCAGTTTTGCTCGCATAAAGTTGCCATGGACGAAGTATTTGCCCCTCAAAGTTCTGGTCACCAAACTATCTGGATTTTTTTATAATTCTCCAACATTGCTTGGCTAGCATGGCTTGATTAAAAACACTAATTTCCTTGAATCCCATTCCTCCAAGATCTTTGCCAATGCAGAGCTTTTTCCAGCTCTTCCAATGAATCTTCCTCTCGCATTTAGAAATTGATTAATCAATAAATACAAGTGTACTTGATATCTATTATTCAAATCCATGATCGCCGACCTCCGTCAAGAAAAGGAATAAAATAACATAAAGCATAACACCTAGTAAAGAGATCAATCTTCAATGAAATAAATACCGCAACTTCAATCGTTTTTATGTTTGTTATATTTTGGTTTTTTAATTTCTAAAATAATTATTTTAATTTTTAAATAAAATAGTAATAACTATCATTTTAACCGATGCATCAATTCTTTGTGTTCACATCTTATAATTGATTTTGAAATATTATTCTATTGTTTCTAAATCAAATGGAAACATGGGTTTGAAATTGATGAAGAGAAAGATTACCTATTCAACAACATTGGGTGAGGTTTAATTATAACAACCAAACTAGCATCATTTCAAAGCCTTTCAAAATCACGTCAACTTTAATGTATAATATAAGTTATGTAATTAATTAGCACTTGGTTCACCAATATTGACCATAGAAACATGTAATTAACCATCTCATTCTAACGACTTTGACCCCATTGGATAATAATATAAGATATTATTAAATACATCACATTTATTGTAATAGATTAATAAATATTAATAGAGCAAGACTCTTTGAAGTTTCAAACAACATACCTCTCATATTATATAAATAAATAAAATCAAGGGAAAATATATTTTTAGTCCTATCTTAAAGTTTCAAAATGAACACTTTTAGTTACTAGTTCAATACCACGTGCAAATGTACGGAGTATTTTCAATCTAACTTTATATTATAATTAAAATTATTAAAAAAGATCTTTAAATTATA